ATTAACTTTGCATAAGGCTTAATCAAATTTGGGGAAAACAAGAATAAAGCAAGTAAAAAGTAGACGCCTTGATCAAGGATTTTCGGCAATCAATCGAATACGTCGTCAGTGTTGGATGTCTTTTCGAAGAAACCAGTACAACTTTGGCTGCTGGCAGTCAGGGAGCTAGGCAGACGGATAAGCACAACCTACACAGAAATTCGGCCTTTTGACCAAAATGTACTGGAAATCCACTTGAGAGGCCGCATGCGACCGGAAATATGCGTCCTCAGTTTGCTAAGGTAACACAGGTTTAATCAAGGTAGACAATGCCTAATACCTGCAAGCTTGGTAATCAGAGCCTGGGCGCTCTGCTTGGTGAGGCGGTAGTTTACGAGCTTCTAGGGCCTTGAGAATGAAACGCACACTGGGACTGGGACTGGAACCGAGTGAATTTGGTCAACCAGAAAGATAAGGAACGGATCTACGGGACCATGAGGGGGATCCGGATTGGAGGCCCGAGTCGGATTAGTCGATCAAAAGAGAGGGGGTCGGGGTGAATAGAAAGAGGAGTGATGGTGTATTCGTTTTCGGCACAACGTTGGTCGAGGGATTGACTTCACTTGTCCCTGACGTGTTTGCAACTTGGTGCGGAGAATGGCAGCATTCAGTGATGATGCCGACTACGATGCCGGAGAAACGTCTGAGAATGTACCAAGTCCACTGTCTGATGCTGGAAATTATGGTAACTATTTTGGCAGAGGACTTCGGACAAGGTACATTCTACTAAGTCACCATGACAACAAGACCAAGTTGCGAAAACGAGGTCAACCCACTTCTTAAATAAGTTACCGGGCCAGCTTATTTATTCTCGCTTGCATGGAAATGTATTCTGCAGGTTCTTTTTGTAAAAATATTTGCCATTCGAAGCATTATTAAAATTTTTATTCCTTGTTTATTTTATTTGCTGTATTTCTTTAACTTAGCATTAGCCCTAGATGTTTATAAAGTCCATAAGACTTTTTTTCTCTAGGTGCTATAATTAGTTTTATTTAGCTGAGATAAGGAATTATTCTATTTGTAAGTCCTTATAAATTAGACTATATTAAGCTTGAAGAAGGTTAGAAGAATGATTTATTGTTTAACTTTCATTTATTCTTTTACCTGCTTCATTCACATATATTAAGTCCGAAAGATCCAGCTACAAAATGTAGTCTGTTTTATTTATACTGATTGGAATCTAGTAATTGCTACAGTAGTTGTTGGCACAAATTGTGACTTTATCCGTCTTTTGGGACAGGGCTAGTTTTCGATTAGTTCCACTTCCGTCTACTGGCTATTTTCATAAGCTTTGTCTCTTCCACTGACTGCTTACGAGATGCATGCTCCATTATCAAACCGGTGTTCAGGGTAAGCTGACTTCATTTATCGTCTAGGCTGCCCAATGTGTAGCCTATTATGGGTTGATGAAAAATTCCTTTTATTTAACCTTTATGGATCAATACATAGTAACCAGCCAAAGTGGTACATTTTCCACACTTAGTTCCTTGGCATCTGCAACACTGTTTATGAGTTATCCGAAATTGTTTAACTTCTTGTGGTGGCTGGTTGGCCAGTTTATATTCACTTCTGTCCGGACGAATCTCAATTACGAGTTTGGGAATCCTAAGGAGGCCTGAACCTAATCTACTTTGCTTTGATTTGAACTATACTGATTAGGAGCTTACGTTCAACCGGTCAATTTGTTTGAGGATGTTTATTTCATGACGTGCTCTTTGCTTCCATATTCGTCTAGGAACACTAGAATATCCCAATTTATCCATCTACCCTTCGTATAAATAAATACATATTATTTCTTTGTTTATCTTTATGTTTATGCCTTTTATTGCCTGTTTTGCGTTTCTATGCTGTGCTTATTTAGACCTTTGTATCTCAGTTTATTTCTTATTATCAATCTATTTTATACTACTATCATGATTTATGTATCGATATTTTAGCTTTATTTGCGTCTTCTCTATCTTTCTTTACTCGTTTATATCTACACTTTTTTGACTCATGTTGAACTTTTATTGTTTATATCTCTTCTGCTTCAAAATACTCCCTTTAGCAGCATGTCGCCTTAGGCTCTGCTATGCGCTTAGACTGTTCATTTGAGTGCGTCTGGCCTGATCAGTCTGACAGACTGATAATTTGCCTACTTACTCTAATTACTCACTGTTTTCGATGCTGCACTAATTATTGTCATTTTCGAATGCTTTTGAATATGGATTGGATACCACCACGGCTATTTTGAGCTGACCTGCTTTGATTATTCTGCAAAGTAATAACGATTTCTGTATAAGTTATTGAATATCGTCTAGTAAGATTTGGTCTTTTTACGGCCAGGATATATTTCATTCCTTTTTGTTGCATTAGCGACTTTTATTATGCATCTTTGCCTGGGGCCTTATGGAATATTCATTGTTGACTTATCGGTCGCTTATATGGTTGTGGTGAGTTGTTCTGACATTTTGGAATGATCTGCTTTTGTGTTGCCTACTGTTGCATCGGGTTTTCACGTAATTTAAACTCTCGGTGGTTGTGTCTATACGGCTTTTTAATAGCATAATCAACTATATTTATTACACGAATACTTTTAATGTTTATTCGCATGGAAGCTCGCCATGTGCTAATGCTCAATATCTCCTCCCCTACGATTACGAGCTATCTTGATCCGATGGAAGATTAGACGAGACATTACTTCAAGTCTCCCTTTTATACAAATTTAGCTTCACGTTGAGGACGGTGAGCCTTGGTTTACATAGCTAGAATAACTCAAAACAAAAACAGGCTGGTATCACCCTTGGTTTGGTTTGGTCTGATCTCCCTAAGCTGTATAATATTCGTTTTACTTTATTTTCTTAGCATAGACAACCATGCTAGGAAGCATCGAAAAAGTTCTGCATTGCATCCTCTACAACTTGTTCATGTGTTTTTCCAGCATAGGACCGCTGACTCAGTACATTATCAAACGTTCACTGATATTATTACTTATCAGAGCCATCCCCATGGTCAAGCTCCAACTCTTTAAACCACCGTCTACTAGCCTTTTACACATTTTATGGTGCCTTTTATATCCTTCAATTTTGTACTGCTTTACCTTACTTTAATTCCATGTTGTCAAGGCTCATTTCTTTATCCATATTTGCGATCGTGCCTGCTTCGATTAGCTTGAGATTGAGTTTTGGCCAATATGTGGTTCGATTAAGCGACTTGATAGGTGACAGATCATGTGAAAAGAAGTATTACAGTCCTTCGCCAGTATTAGTTAAGGCTTCACTCATTGCTGACGAGTTATAGTTTATTAAAGAATGCTTTTTCTCATCAATTATGTTTACTACGAGGCCGGAGAAATTTCTGAGAAGGTACATTTCAAACTGTTTGATTCTAGCATAAAGCATGAAAAGATTGGCAGAGGACACTACGCTTACTATTCATACATACACAATAAAATTGTGGAAAATGTGCCGAGATAACTAAGGAATAACTGAAGTAGTCTGAAGCCTTTTATTGAGCTTTTCAAGAATTTATTTATGACAAATAATATAGTTTTTACTTGGTAATTCATCCTTTGCAAACTAATGCTTAACTTGCATTTACTGTTTTTCATTATTATTATATTTGATAGGACTCTTCCTCTCCGATTTGACCTACACAAATGTGGCCCATCCTCGCGTGGCAGGACAGCCGAGCTCTGTGTGGACCTGTAAAATCAATGCGATAATCGACACTATCAATCACTTCCAACAGTCTGAATACAGTAAGTTTGGATCCCCCTACGTCATTTGCTTCCGCTTCAATCATTTCTTCTATGAATGATTCTGATTCCTTACCCATTCTGTTCTGCTAAGTCCAGCTAATGAGGTTTGAAGCCTAAAAATGGTAAAATTGCAAGCTAGTCATTCGCATTGGAAAATTACAATTAATTCTGGATCTATCTCTTTAACTAATCAAGTTAAGTATAGAACGTTTTATTTGAAACGGTATGGCTTTTGGCGAATCTTAGCTGAGACCAATTTTTATGCAAGTTCTGGTATGTTTTTTCGTAATCAAGGTTGCTCAATCAAAATATGCTTCTAGTCTGAAAAAATGAGGCATTAATTTCTTTTGTATGGATATAATCTAGCGCTTTCGTTTTTTTCTACATTATAAATATAGTGCAGATAGACTAAGTAATACATCCTGATATCTTAGAAAGAATTACAGAGATTTAATAAGAATCTTCCGCATCGCAAAGAAAAAAGTCCAAATTATTTTTAACTAGCCTAAATGCGGCCTTATGTAGTAGAGCACAGTAATTTAAACTTTTCAGGAAGTGTACATTGATACATCATGCTTTGTTTATCTTTTTTCTACCGAGAGCAGCTGGAAAATAAAATAGCTGCTGAAACGCTATCAGAAAGCTTGGACCGCAATATAACCAGGCTGAATGTTACTTATTCTTCCCTCTACAATTCCGCTTCAGCTTAATCGGCTTACTTCTGTTTGGTAAACTTTATCAGTATATGGTTATGTTCTCAGGAGTTGGATAAGCCTTGGTAGTCAAATTCTCCACTCTTCACAGACATGAGGATCACAAAGATAATGCAAATTATCGTCCTTAGGACAGGGAAGCTGATGTTTACATCACTGGCACCAGCGCCAGCAACTCTGGAAAGAAGCTTGAGTTCAAGTCGATCAACTCATTTACTTTAGAATCCTGGACAACAAATGGCTAATGAAATTTTATTATCATTTTCTCCTTATGTTTATTGTATTGTTCGCAACTAGCTATTTCTGAACTCGCTTTCTTTTTTGTTCCCACATGAATGGACGCACATTACATATCTTTATTTTTTATTTCGTCATCTTTTTTAATCATAAACGAGCCTAAATTGCTAATTAGCATCACTTGATTTCCTCTTTCATGGTCTGATAGATCGCTTATACGCAATACATTGAAGCGGTCTGATTTTTAAAGTCTATCTCAAAGTGTAATTCTTATGCACCCGTTAGAATCACAATGTTACTTTCTCATTTATACCGGACTGAGATATCAATCATTGTTAGTTCTCTCAAATGATCCAGCTGGGTCGTGAGTGGTCGGAGGCAAACACTTCTCCAACTTCTTTTTCTGTAAGTAGAGCAGACCTCATTCAATTCGCATTCGCATTGGGGAAATACGAAGTTGACAAGCTTGCTACCGCTGTACCTTTAGTCCTAGACCCGCATGAACCATCAGCATTGGAAGTTCTTTTGTTTTTCCCTTTCAATTATTCTTTTAAGGGCTTCAAACTCTCGGCTTATCCATGTTTTACATAAATCTTAAAGTCTCGAGGTTATTTGATACCATTCTAACTAACGACTTTTTATTTCTAGTATCCCTTTTCATCTTTTAAAAAATGTTATAATCGCTATTTAATTCAAATACGAAAATCGTATCCAATAGGATTGAATAATTATATCACATTAATTAATTGAATGCTGTCAATCAGAATTTTATTATGGTTTAACATTTTTCGACTTTTTATGAGATTTTTAATGTTTGCCGATGTTGAAACATATTTTGAATTGACTGACACCACTTCCTATACAGCGGTACCCCATCTCGCTATACTTGAGTCCGAATAATTCGATAAATAACCATATGGCGGCACTTCACTGAACTGGTGAACAATTAAATGTTTTCGTTATTCTGAAAACTGGCCTTGTAGCCTGGGTCAACCTCATTTTCTTCATCACTTTCGGATCTCTTCTATTGGCAATTTTCTCTTTTTTCGTTAGCCTGGTTCATCTAGTAGGCACTTGACATGTTTTTTCATGTACCAAAGACTGCGCACAATAACTGGTCCAATCACATAGTTTCCTGTCCTTCATAAGAAGAGTGGGGCTGGGCCTCCACGGACTGAGATTGTCTTGCTGAGGTTTACTTGAATATACATTCTGATTTCCTTTCATCAGCATTCCCTAATGGTCGGTCTGTCCGCACTACTGAAATCCCTAATGTGTACTGCTTATTCAATAAATCAATAACATTCTTTATGCTCAGTCGTCTTGAGGAGCGGAGAGACACTTTGTACTCAAAATTAAGTTTAGATGCCATTTCTGCCAATCGGCAAACAGAAAAAAGTTAGCCTTAGTCCAAGCTATAGTATAGAATTAGTCGGGTCGACTCTAATTTGGCTAACTTCAGGTCAATTTACAATTGCGATAATTAGCGCAGTGACTTTATAAATGTATTGCGGACAGTTTTTTTGCTCAATTATCTCGGTTTTGATATGTCTCTAAAGAACTTTGGTTGACTGGGCAGAATCCCAGATGCTCCCTCGTTGTTTTGCCCAATATCCTTAAGCTAGGAACTCACGTCTTCCAACGAAGCATAACTATTAAAATGGAATTGCGTAGATATTTCACTTTTCCATGGCTTTTAGAGGCAATGCCGTACTCATATTCATCACGCTCTTCTTCTCCTCTGATACGTTTCCTAAGTTTATTCATTCTTCGAGCTAACCTTCACATCGATCACCTCTGTGTATGCATTTATGTCGCTGGGTTCCTTGATTTTTACTTACGGGAGCTTCGAGGTTTCGAATTACTTTCCTAAAAAGGGATTTTTAGGCTTTAAACTTCTAAAAAATATTGCTCATTCGTCTGTTTTTTTTATACTTTTGCTGATATTACCAGGTCTCAATTTCCTAGATGGACTTGTTCCGTTTTAGAAAACACTGTTATTAACATCAATAATACTATAATAGATACAAAGAGTAACTGGGTTTCGATGAATATCCTAAGATAGCATTAAAGGTTTGAAGACCGGATGGTGTGGTCTTTTGTGTGGTCGCAGTTTACTTTCGTTGTATAGACGTTGTTTGACTTTGTTTTTGCAACTTAGTCATATTGGCAGGAAGACTTGGAGGATCGCACCTAGTCCTAAGTCCATTGTATGCATCATCATTTCCAGAATATGACCGTGGACGTGGTACATTCCCAGGCGTTTCGCCGGCATCGTCAGTGAGTCTCGCCATTC